ACTCATCATGTGTCCATGGCTCTCAAGGTCAAAACTGCTGAAACCAAGGTAAAGTGAATTGAGTTTGTATAGTGTTGTATGTCACCGGACAGTATTTAGAGAATTAGACAGCTACTGTGGGGCTTGAAAAAGCAGTTGCTTTCCTCCTTAGAGTAAGAGTGTTCTCCAACGTTCTCTTCCTAAAAAACAAATTGAAAAGGACCTTATACCTTATACTATAGTGCTGGTAGTAAGTACTGCAAAGTACACCTTGTAAAAAGGATTTCAAAATATGTGATGTAGTTCCATTTATGAAATACAATTCTTGGAAGCATCTAATAAAATCCTACATTTAATGACACCTGTGTATTCTTAAAATGTTTTAAGTTGTTTTAAAATATAATAAATAACCCTGTGGTTTTTAACTTCTGGTTTTTGCTTTGAAATATTTGATGGGTTAGAAAGGGAAAAAATACTTTGAAAATAAAATGTATTCTGATATTTTAAAAATATGTAAGTTTACATTTCAGTGGAAAGATCAAATAAAAAATGAAGTAGAACGTGATAAAACTGGAAAATTTTCAAAGGATTTTCATTTTCATGTGATTCTTTTAAGAGTACATTCCTAGCACTGAGCTTCATGCATTTCCTTACCTTTACTTGACTGAGCAAAGAATGCTATAGCTAATAGATCACTACATCCCTAAGACAGGAACTAAGAATATTTTGTGTACAAAGAGAAAAATCCTGGGCCTTTGACGCCAATGAAAGTTTGTTGCTGACTTGAAGAGAGGCTAGGAATTCACCTACTGTAATTAGAGGTCATCAGGGCATCGGCTCACAGCCATCCTTCAGCTCTGTTTTCACTTCAGTCCTGTCTCACCACTTTTATTACAATACAAATCTACATATAGACCAGATAAGGCTTCAAGGAGGCAGTTGCTAGAGGAGGGGCAGCAGATAAAGGAGAATTACAGGAAACGTGCATCTGCTCAGAGCAATGAAATGAAAATTATTCCCACCAAAAACATGCCAAAGACTAAACTTCCAATCCTTAGAGATATTTGCAGGGGGGTAGGAGGTAGTATGGCTGTCAAAATTGCATGTGACATCGTAGTCAATTCACATTACAGTGACACTGTGGTACACTGTGGAAAAGAATGGATCAAACGGGTTATTAGGCCAATTTTCATGTAGAATAAGACTAAGGACAATGGACATGGGAAAGCTGTATTTAGCCCTCAGACCAACCTGGCTGAAGAGATTAATTGTCCTCAGATTTTCTTGGCTTTGTTTTGATGTAGGG